GTGCTTCACAACTAATCAGATATATTTCAATAAGGCCATCTAATGGACGACAACATTTACGAATTTTATTGTTTCTACTTAATAAATATTTAGTAGTTAAATGTATTATTCCAAAAAAATGAAAATCACTAATCAACTTAAACTACCGAAGTAACTAATACTGAAAAACATGAATATTTTAGTTTTCAGGTGTGCAATTCAGTTATGCTTCGAAAAAAACTTACCTTTCAGAGCATACAAGTTGTATTAATGTCACTTGTATAAACAACAGGACAGTAAAAAGATTACGGGTATGATAGGTGGCTGGGTGACTGAATAACTAAACAAATACAGACTGTAAACCAATAAGCTTAACAGGTTTTAGTTAATTCATCATAAATTGCTATACCTCTGTACGGCCCTTCTTTCTCTTACTGTTATGTACACTGAATGTGATTGTGGAAGCTATTCCTATAGAGTAACTGTTGTAACACAAACTTGATCATGTGGTAAATAATAAATTCTATCTAAACTCACTGAATGAGTGAACAAGGCTTTCATTTTAGTCGTCTGATTGGCTAGTTGCTTGTAGTAATGAATCTAATTTATATCTACAATTAGTTAATTCATAATTATGCGATAAATATTATTGAAATATTGTGCCAACTTATGGTAGATAAAGTAAACCTTACATGATTGCGATACTTAATCCAATAATTATGTTTAATGGGCTCTTATTGTAGACAAGCTGTAATGACTTAGCTTCGTTAATCAATCATCTTGATAACCGTCATTATATAAATCCCAACAGTGTTTGAATTCAGAAGGCCATAAGAAGTAGTAACTACAATTTACTAGCGGATAGCACAAATCACAAAGCTATGAACACATCGAGCGAATTTGAGGCAGAAAAGCGAATGTGTGTGTGTGTGAGTGAGCAAATACAGACGAATTTATAGTCAACAGGAATAATGCGAAGCTAGGCAAAACAAAGGCTAAAAATAGGATTCGAGTACATATATGCATGGGGAAGAGAATGATTTATTGAGCGATATTTAAGCTATCAGCATTTTAGCTAGAGAGCGATATGTGCGTAGGCTATCATGTGATTAAGCGTACACGTTTATATGGACAAGATAGTGATCATAATAATACAAAGAAATAGACGAGTTACTACTGCTCGAATAATATTGTCTGTTAAATAAGTAAATAAAAGGGTTTAGCTAAAATCAACCATAGTCGAAATTGATTGTAGGATAGTTGCTATAGTGCTTTATTGTAAATAAGGTGTTACTTATTTTATCAATATGATATGAGTTTCTCAATGTTTAGTTGATTTCAAATGATTATATGATTAGTAAAATAAAAGTTCACGAAGTTATTATGTACTGCCGACTTCACAACTAGTTTATGTTAAGGTATTCCCAGTTATACTTACCTTTGAGTAATTATTATACTAAACATTGATATTATCTCTTACTACTATAGACAGATGTATTTTTAAAAGACACAAAACAATTAAATCGGTAACAACTGTAAACGATTTGTTTCTTTTTAACTCTATTATATTTCTTTTTTTTTCCTTTTTTCATGTATCAAAATGTAATATATCCAGAAACAAAAGTAATGAAATATGGGATAGAATATCTTCATATTGAACATAGTCTAGAACGTTCGTGATAATTTCCTCCAAAGATTATTAAGATACAGATCGAATCACAGAAAAAAAAACTTGCAAAATAGCTATGGGCTATTAATAAATAATGTTTTCATTAACATAAGTTGTTCAAACAATCAAGGCCCTTCGGTAGTGGTTATCTATATGGTCTAAAATTTCTGGTTTCTTTGGATCCTAATTCATTAACGACTGAGTAACCTAAGAGAAATTCATATCTTCCAATCACTAATACCATTGAATCATGTTTAATAGGTATCTGATATTTTATTTTGGTTAAGTGATTGATCTTTTTTTTCTACACCAGTTCAATTGGAGAGTTTAGCTAATAAATCTGTCAAGTGAGTAGTCATTACTAGACACATTATCTATCGACAGAATTCTACTCTCTAGCTCGTCCATTCATTTACAAATCAAATATTCGGAATTTCTTCACCATGACAATTCTTAAAGTTGAAGTCATGCACAAGCTACATCATATTGTTATGACATTTTCTAAATTCATATAACATTTAAATAATTCAGTACGCCATGAATCCATAGTAGATGGTGAGTATGGATATAAACTATTTGACATATCAACATCTTTGCATATTCTGATATTTATTGTTCTTCAGTCTGTTTTCTATCTTTTTAAACCCGTTTGTATTCCATAAACTTTATTCAAATGATAACCGAATCAACTTACAATTAATGTTTTTTTTAAAATATAAATTTCCTACTTTCTATTGTTAAAAGTTTTATTGCTAGATATCTTAATCATAGTACTGTCAACAGATATGTAACATTAATCAGAAGTGAAAAACCTGGCATTGAAAAGGCTAAGAAGATTGAGTTGAACAGAATTGAAAAGGAAACAGAAAGGAATTATGAACTAGAAGAATCATAAAGAATATGAAAGACAAATGATGGAAATTTGAAAATGAAATATTCAGTGTATGGTTCTCATATTTTACCAAGATATTTTGTAATGTTTTATACAACAAAAGATTAGTTGACTTCACTTGAGTTCTCATTCATTACGGTACATAACACATGACCTTCGTTCTGTTGTTAAAATCTAATACTTGTAAAGTCGATTATTTTATTTTACTATCCAGTGAAATTCAAGAACAAATCAATAACACAGTCAATTAAAATGCTTTTCCTTAAGGAATGTGTTAGTGATAAAACTGATTTCAAATCTAACATTAGTTCAATGAGATCACAGTGTTCTACATTGTACATCCAACTGTCTAGCTTACGATAAACTACAAAAAAATAGTTGTTTTTTTTTCTGCCGAAATATCGAACATTTGATGACGAAGTGAAATGAACAAAAATGGCGTTACGATCATGGAGATGACCTATCAAATGTATAGTTTCCGTCTAAAATGTCCAAACTTCGGGGAATAAGTTCCTAATTGCTTCTCTGTGCATCAAAACTGAATCAGGAATAAAGTGCTTTCAGGTTTTCAAGGACAGTCTAACTTAGATCGACTCATGAATTCAACAATTAAAATTACTACAATCTCCACAAATCTCCATTCTAATAATAAATAGAAATGTTTGAAACTGTGAGATAATGTTTGATAATCGAATGATTGAATCACTAGATCACTATTTCATTGATTGGTTTTAGTGTTCGAACCTAAACAGTCGTTACTGAAGTATGTTAACTTGTATGAAAATATACGATAATTGATACAAAATCACAATTCGATTATATTTGTAAATAATTATAGAATTCAAATCGGTAGTATAATTATAACCTGGTCAATTGATTTGACTTTAGGAAAATAAATCCTAAATTTAATTTAGTTCTCAATGATTATTCAATTCATAATAAGCTTTTATATAAAACTTTCTAGTCTACTAATGACGATCAGTCTAGATTGTTTATCAAAATATCAGCTTACTGCCATATCATGAAAATATAATATGTAAATGTAATTACGTGATACATTATTCAACTGATCATTGATCATTGAATTTATTTTTCCTGGTTAGCGTTTTTTAGCGAGTTAAAACTTTTCTCTTTCTTCTAGTGGTCGACTGGATTATGAAGACCTCAACATGTGAGGGAAAACACGGAGTACAATGAACAGCTCAGAACCAATTAGACGATTTGGACTTCGCAGATGACCTAGCCCTCCTATCCTATATACACGAATAAATGCAGATGAAGACAACTCGTGTAGCAGCAGCCTCTATATCAGTACGCCTCCACATACACAGTGGGAAAACCAAGGTCCTCAAATACAACACGGAGAACACTAACTTAATCACACTTCATGGCGAAACTCTGGAAGAAGTGGAATCTTTCACATACCTGGATATCATTATCAATGAACAAGAGGGATCAGATGCAGACGATAAGTATAGGATTGGCAAAGAAAAGATAGCATTCCTACAGTTGACGAACATATGGAACTCAAAACAACTGTCAACCAATATCACAGTCAGAATCTTAAATGCAAATGTCAAGACAGTTCTATTATACGAAGCTGAAACGTGGAGAACTACTACAACCATCATCACGAAGATACAAGTATTTATAAATAATTGTCTACGCAAGATACTCAACATCCATTGGCCGGATACCATCAGCGATAGCCTCATATGTGAGAAAACAAACCAGCTTCTAGTTGAAGAGGAAATTAGGAAAAGACGATGGAAGTGGATAGGAAATACGTCGAGGAAATCATCAAACTGCATCATGAGACAAGCCCTAACTTGGAATTATGAAGGGAAGTGGAAAACAGGAACGCCAGATATGAAAAAGATAAATAAAAACTGGAAAGTATTGCCCAGGACAGGGTTGAATGGCGAATGCTGATGGACGGCCTATGCCCCTCCATGAAGAGTAACAGGCGTAAGTAAGTGAAAAGGAGAAAAACTACTTTACATATTCATTATCATGTTCATATTTAATGCCAATAATTAATTTTAGCAGTTAAATTCACTAATCAATCTAAGCTAGATCATCAGTGAAAAACTGGACAGCTGTTTTATTTTAGTATGGGACTCCTTAGTAGTGCGGATCCAGAACTGCGCACACTAAACTCTTACCCAGGATACACACTGCCCAAAAGTCCTATACTACGATGAAACGGTCATCCAACGCTTCCAGTTTTTCAATAGTGATCTAGCTAAGAATGACAGAGTGAATTCAACTGTTACAATTATTACAATCTCTAAAAAATTCTCATACTGAAGATAATTAATTATTAAAAAGTATATCATTTTATTATATATTCAATCTTTCAATTCATCTAAATACAGAGATATGTATTCATTAGATTATACTGAATATGTATGAACATTGAAGCATGTATATAATAAAAGAAACTTACTGCAATTTATAGAGTATAAATATTACAACAACAAAAAAACAAACAAACAAACAAACAATGAAACATAATTAAGCAAATAAAAAGAAACATGAAAACCTTTATAAATTACTATATCTTAATATTTAATTTACTTTTATGATGGTGTAAATTCATGTGTTATACCAACAATAGTATGTCTATGTGATTTAATAAGACGATCATTACGTGATTGATATTTTATAGTAATAACATTGGATCGTTTATTACCATAAAATTTATTCCCTTTAAATAATGCTGTTATTTCTTCTTGTATATTTGAATTAGTACGAGATAATTTTTCACGTTTCATTTGATTTAATGTTAATAACCAATTAGGTTTTTTTTCTTCTAAACTTAATGAACGTTTAATTCGTTTTGTATTATTATTATTATTACTATTATTATTATTATTATTTAATACATTTTTTAATATTTCATCAGCTCCAGTTACACTAGAAGAACGTTGTTTTTGTATATTTCTTGAAATTCTTCCTGTTAATGGATCATTTATTGTTGATGGTTTATAAATTGATTCAAATACATCATCTTCATTAAGATTTGTTTCTAATTTTTCATTTATATTCATATTTTTAAAAGTTAATGCAGCTAATAATGTATCTTCATCAGATGGTAAACCTAATGAACGTAATCTTAACCAAAATGGTTGATTTAAATAATCATTATTATGAGTATTATCTTGTGAATTTAAATTATAATATGATGAATGAACACGATCATTCATTGTTATAGAATGTTGTTGTTGCTGTGGTGGTGGTGGTGATTGTTGTTTAATTTGTTTACATTTTTTAAAATCTAATATTATATTATCATTTTTTAATAATTTACATGTTAATTCATCAAATGATAAATTAAAATTTGTTTCAGAAAATCTTCTAGTTAATTGTAAACGTTGAATATCAAGTTGTCTACATATTTTATTTTGTTCTTTCATTAAACGATTATAATTTAATTGAAGTTTACGATCTTCAATTTCTTGTAAGATTTTTAATCGTTTAACTTTATGTTGATTAGATGTATATGATGATGTTGTTGTTGAAGATGATGTTGAGGATGATGGAATTATTGAATGTTTATCTAAATGATTTGTAATATCCATTGTATTATTTAATTGATTGTTTTATTTATCATTTTATATAATGAAATCAAATGATTAAATATGAAAGAAATATTTAATGATTTTATTTATATTTCTAATATTCTAATTGGTTTGGAGATAAATATTCGTGCCTGGACTGTGAACTTTATGGATATATACATGCATATAAATAGAGAGGTTTCCATAATTACAGGTACACAACATATGTTTATCGATTTGTGTCCTAAATGAAACTTGACAAAGTTAGTTTCGATATAGAGACTATAAAATGTCTGAAGAACGTAATTCTATTCTTAAAAATAAAAAAAGAATACCCGTAGGGTGGAGAATCACTTATTTGTATATACATTGTAGAAAAACAAAGAAATGCTAATTCGATCATTGTATATGTTTGTTTTTTTTCACATTTTCTGTGGAAAACATATGTAGAGTATAATAAAAGGCATTATAAACTCGGTCAACATAGTCTAAGTACTTTGAATCATGTGAATGATGTTTTGCACAATAGAAAAAAAATAATAATAGTGTCATATTACAAATAAAAAGATTGAAATTTAGTTGATTAATCAAATGAATAGTAAACTGTTCTTTAAAAATCTTCAGAATTGCAATTGATCACTCTCTTATTGACATATATGCATACTGTGCGGAATGTCGTCTCTATATTAACCTGAATTTTCAAGCATTCTAAGCAAAGATGGATAATGGTTAGCAATGGAATTGAGGATGTGCGCTTCTTCCTATTTGAGACTCATCAGCTCAATATACCGGCATCTCAGAGTTGATGTTCACTCAGGACTCAGTAGCTAAGCATTTTTCATGTACGTTGGGAACAGCGAGTCAAGAATGATAAGGTTAACCATAGTGTAATAGGTAAGCATTCAGAATCGTTTGATTAGAACACGCATTACCTGTGCCCAAACACTGAATACCTCGACGGGCGATGTTATCTAGTGCATGGTTGGGTTGGAAGGAAGCTAGGGATAGTTGAATAATAACATAGGATCAGTCAATCAAGTAATTGACTGCCTAACTAGTGCATTTAGGTATATGCAGACTACTCGGCTGAACTGCGCTTAATTACCGTAACTACTAGTTATAGACTTTGAGTGACAGGGCTCAGAATTGATCGCGATGAGGTAGATGTGTTCACTCGTCGTCTTCCTTTAGATTCAGAGTTTGAAAATGTTCTTATAATTCTTTTTCTTTCCATACTTAGTGTTTTCTACTACTACTACTACTGACATTATTCTACTTCTACTACCCTGGGATTTATCTTAATATTCTCGTCTTACTGAGCTAATATGTTGCGGTAATCTGAACGGATGCATATACGTGCTAGGTCCCATATTCCATAAAGTTGACTGGTTGAATGCGAATCTCAGGTATGCAATTTGCACTTCGTACGAAGTACTACATCTCCTTGGGAGATTATCCCTAAAGTACTTGTAGTGTTCAAAAGTATATCATACATAATGGGAGGCAAAGATCGACTCGCACGTCACCGTAGCGCTCTTCGGTTAGTAGGGGACATCTTTCTAATGAGCTAATGCGAGCGTCAAGGTGGAGATTGGGTTAATCACCCACTGTCTCATATATGGGTTAAAGGAAAAGAAGGTTTTCTTGAGATAAATGCGATATTACAAGGAAAAGAGAAATTCTCTCTTGGTGTGTCATGATTATCTCTGAATAGAACCATTAGGCCTCATTGGGGTGATGGAGAGCGTGGACCACAAACTGTACCGTAACCAGTGCGCAGCGGTTGACTCCAAACTTGTTTGTGTGATGAGAATGAAGGGGGATATCGTCTGTGACGAGTTATTTGCGAATTGATTTGATTACATGCTATTCGTTTAGCGTTGGAGGCGGCTGGGGTGATCGCATTTATGGATCTCGGCCTGTACAACCTATATGCATATGATGTATACTTGAGAGCGGAAGCTCATATACCAATATGTACTTATGGAAATTATAGACCTGACTAAGCATCTTGTGATTGCATGTGACACATACTGGCGACCACGCCCATTTACACCTGTGTATATCACTGGAATGTATGTGTATCTGATATGTGCATTTTATATATACATATACAATATACTTGGAAAAGAGTTCCACATTCTATACCGGTGCATTCATTAATAGCTCATCAGCGCTTTTAGTTTGCATAAAAGTTTCTGAATATAGTAGGAAAGTGAAATTATACTAGAGCTGGACTGTATTGTTTGTCTATTCTACCAATGACAGACCGCAGTGAATCAATTTGCCACACATGAATATAAGTGGACTACAACAAATGTCTGCTTCTATGTATAAAACAGACTACTAATGTGTCCATCTGCTTTATTAGTATAGTCATATCGAAATATTCCCTTTCCGGTCATTAGCTCTGTTCTTTACAATTTTACATTTCTTTATATAAATTCTTTTTTTCACGACGATAAGTCAATCTGGTTTCTTCGTTGTTGGAGTGAACTGTAAAGGACAAATGATACATTTCCATATATACGTTTAATTTGAACTTATCTGTATTCTTAGTGGAAAAAGCTTTATTTATGACTTATAGTTTAGTGTAGTCTGAATTGTTCATAGGAATTGTATTCAAATTCAGAGTAAATTCTATCATCTTAATGAGAATCATGCAAATATGACAGTTATATTTATTGATATTAGTCGTGAGTTTACAACCGTGTTAAGGTTTCTGTGAATAACTTAATACTATTAATCCAATGAGATAAGCAGAGAATTATGAGCTGAAAATACAACAGAACATGGATGATTAATTGCAATGTTAATTACTACTAAGACCAAAAATTGGTTTATCATATTTCGTTTGCGTAATTATAAATTTTTAGTAGTATAAATTACCTCTACAGAAAAAAAGTAAAGTAACTGACTATCTAAACAGTAAACGTTTACAAGTGAAATTCAGTATGTTATCATTTTTCTAAAATTTAACTCTGAAATGTGATCGGATTTTACATTGTGGTTTTATTCTTGTTACTCATTCCGACTGAGGACCGAAGTCAGACAAATTTGCTTACTCTCCCCCTATCCATTTCTTCTGGTGGTTGACTTGATTGTGAAAACCCCCATATCTAAAGGGAAGCATGGAATACAATGGACAGCCTGGATGGTTTGGACTTTGCAGATGAACTGGCCCTTATATGCCCTGCACACAAACAAATGCAGGATAATTCAACTATTTATTTAAACACATAAACATTGGTACAAGGAGGAACCAAACAGATATGCGCCACATAAATCATTCGATTTATGTGAAGGCTGGGATACTGCGCAAGTGCCCGAACCAAAGCAGGTGGTTTTCTTAGGGGGGAGGCATACCCCGAGCCTTTGACCTAAAGGTCTAATCCAAAAGGCAGTGGAGCAACGTCAGGAGATGCACTGGAAGAAGTGGAATCTTTCACGTACCTGGATATCATTATCAATGAACAAGAGGGATCAAATGCAGACGATAAGTATAGGATTGGCAAAGAAAAGATAGCATTCCTACAGTTGACGAACATATGGAACTCAAAACAACTGTCAACCAATATCACAGTCAGAATCTTAAATGCAAATGTCAAGACAGTTCTATTATACGAAGCTGAAACGTGGAGAACTACTACAACCATCATCAAAAACGTACAAATATATCTGAACAGCCGTTTACGCGAAATACTGAATGTGCGTTGGCAGGATACCGTCAGCAACAGCCTACTGTGGGAGAGAATAAATCAGCTTCCAGCTGAAGAGGAAATTAGGAAAAGACGATAGAAATGGATAGAACACAAATTGAGGAAATCATCAAACTGCATCACGAAGCAAGCCCTAACTTGGAATCATGAAGGGAAGTGGAAAAGAGGAAGGCCAAAGAACATATTGCGTCGGGAATTGGAAGCAGATATGAAAAGAATGAATAGCAACTAGAAAGGTGGGCTGTGATTCTCCACGAGGGGTAACAGGCGAAAGTAACTCTTGTTACTTTCATGCATTAACGTTTATCTTTTTGTTTCACCATCATCGTAGGTCAACTTCTAGAGCAGTATTCACATCCTAATTTCAATGTTGTTTTAGTCGGTCAACATAAGGACTCTTAATTGATGGATGAGCATAGCATTAAAACCAATACTTAAGTTGTTTGCAGTTAGATTGAAGTTATTTAATGGCTTGACCCTAAATTTCACTCAACTGACAACATAGATAGGGATTATTATGGTTTGTGAGACTAACGACGAAGCAGATAATAAAATTCAGTTTAGAAGTTGGTTTATTCAGATGAAATCTCGTTCAAACAATCACAATCAACTATTTTAAATAACTGTCGTCAGTAAATTTATACCAAACAGGGAACCATGCATTTATTATTGGAAGATTGTAAAAGAATGTGTAAGTACATTCTAAGGAATAAAGATATGGCAGATACTTCTCTCTTAATTCAATAAATAATGGTAACGCACGAGGTACGCATAAAATCTACATTTAATATAACTTCACTCGCTACTAATGACTCACAGGAAGTATTTTCTGTCTGTCCATTTAACTCCGTCAAATTTAGTAGTTGAGACATTGATTTACTAAAATATTAAATTGAAGAACTACTTCTACGATAAACTAATAACGCTAAAATAAACCACGCAATGAATAGAATAGATGGAAATGAACCAAAGAGCTGGCGAGTTCTTCATAGCAAAATCTACAAATTCACTGAAGATAAACGACCATGTGATTTAAATAGAATGATCTATCTAATGTATGAAATCCATTTAAATCACAAAACTTTTGAACATTACTTTTTTAAATATAGTAATTGACATTCCCCAAAAAGTGGATTCGCTCATAAATTTCATAGATTCTAACTAACAATGACTAGATCTTGCTCTCTTTTTATCGGAATGATCTTTATATGGTGAAAAAAATCATTCATTTAGAATAGTACAAATTCAACACTGTCTACTTATCAAACTTGAAATAATTTCAGTCAATCAACTTGATCCTTAAATGGGTACGGATCAGTGAATGAATTCATAATTATCATATAGGTATTTGCTACGAAACTAAAAGTAAATCCTATCAACAACCAAACATTTCTACTTAGGATTTTCTTGCGAAGTTCTTTCAAATTGTTTCAATACTTATGTCTTCAAAGGTTTCAAAAAATAAATTGTTAATTCTAATAACTGAACTTTACTGCTTAGATGATTATCAACGATGTTAATTTTAATAAATTACTTAAAAACTAAGCAAAAAAATTTTCTCAATTCAGTTTCATGGATAAACTT